ACTCTGGGCCTGGGCGCTGCCCCTCAGCTCTTCAGCTCAAGGCTAGCACTCTACCACTTGAGCCACAGCGCCACTTCCAGCTTTTTTCTTTTTCTTATGTGGTGCTGAGGAATCGAACCCAGGGCCTCAAGCATGCAAAGCAAGCCCTCTACCACTGAGCCACCTTCCCAGGCCCTCAGACTCAGTTTTGAACAAGACAGGTAAGGAAGCTGTATGCTGATGGCTCAGGCCTGTAATCCTAGCTACTCAGGAAGCTGGGATCTGAGGATCATGGTTCAAAGCCAGCCTGGGCAGGAAAATCCATGAAACTCATCTCCAGTAAACCATCAGAAAACCAGAAGTGGTGCTGTGACTCAAGTGGTAGAGCGCTCACCTTGAGCTGAAGAGCTGAGGGGCAGCGCTTAGGCCCAGAGTTCAAGCCCCATGACCGACAAAAAAAAACAAAAAAACAAAGAATTTGAAATAGGGAACAAAGTGTTATGTATAAAGAAGTTCACTGCAGCAATGCTGTACTGTGGCTCAAGTGGTAGAGCATTCACCTTGAGCAAAAGAAGCTCAGGGACAACATTCAGGCCCAGTTCAAGGCCCATGACTGGCAAAAGAGAGGGCTGGTGGTGGGGGGGGGGAGATTACAGAAGGATAATAAATAATTGCTTAAAGTTTTTTTTTGTTTCTTGTTTTTTTGTTGGTTGTGGGGCCTGAGCTCTGGCCTGGGCACTGTCCCTCAGCTCTTCAGCTGTAGACTAGCGCTTTACCACTTCAGCCTCAGCCCCACTTCTGGCCTTTTCTGCTTATGTGGTGCTGAGGAATCGAACCGAAGGCTTCATGCATGCAAGGCAAGCACTCTACCACTGAGCCGCCTTCCCAGCCCCTTGCTGAACTCTGGGCCTTGGCACTGTACTTGAACATTTTTTTACTGAAGGCTGGCATTCTACCACTTGAGCCACAGCTCTACTTTTGGCTTTTTGGTGATTAATTGAAGATAATAGTCCCAGGGATTTTTCTGCCTGGGCTGGCTTCAAACCATGATCCTCAGATCTTAGCCTCCTGAGTAGCTAGGATTACAGGTATGAGCCACCAGTGCCCAGTCATGCATCTTTAATTGAATCAATTTTAGATGTTTATTTTTCTGTTTAGTGATAGTTAAGCAATATAATCGCGATTTGAAATGAAAGAGACAAGCATTTTTCTGCCTGCTGTACAAGAGCTCTTAGGTTAATCAACTCTTGACTAACCACTACCTTGGGGAAATGTTCATGAAATGTTTAAGTGGTATGAGACAGACACTATTTTAGGTTCTAAGGATTTAAACAAAAAGAAATATAGTATTTTTACTTACATATATTTTTATTTGATGTAGTTCAAATGGTAGAGTGCTATCTTTGGTCAAAAAGCCAAGTTAGTTAAATATCACTTTAAGTGATATTATCTTCAAGGGATCAGTTTCAGGACACACCCCCTTAACTCCCTCCCCCAGAGATAAATCAAATCTGAGACACTGTATTCAAATCCTTTTATAACTAGGTCATATTATTTTCATATAAACTATGCATTTCTTCTTTTAAGTCATCTGTAAATGACTCATATTTGTCACAATGTAAGTATTATATAGTTATATATTATACATATAATATATAACATGTTATATATTATTATATATAATATGTAAATATACATTATATTGTATTTAGAGAATAATGATCAAAAAAGTCTAATTATGTTCAGTATAGATAAGCCACTGGTGCCCAGCATATGCCAGCTTTTTGTTGTTATTATTACTTGTGGGGCTTGAACTCAGGGCCTGGGCACTGCCCCTGAGCTCTTTTGCTCAAGGCTAGCACTCTACCGACCCTGAGCTCAAGGCTAGTACTTTATCAATTTGAGCCACAGCTCCAGTTCTAGTTTTTTTTTTTTGGTTCTGTTTTGCTTTGACTAGCACCAAACCCATAATCCTCAGATGTCAGCCTCCTGAGCAGCTACCATTACAGGTGTGAGCCACTAGTGCCCAGCTCCAGCTTTTTAATAATTGGTTTAAATGTGCTCTAGAGCAGCACAGACTTTTGGTGATAGGTAGCTAAGTGTTCAAGTACATCAGGACATTGCATAACAGTTCTTACTGAGCATACTTTCTGCACATATAATCCTTCGTGCCTAAGCGAACCCACTGGTGTGGCCAGGTACAGAGCAAGGTATCATCTTTCCATTTGACAATAATTTCTCTGTGGTTCTTAGAAGAATTGAACAGCTAAATAATATCAATAACAATGATACTAATAATAGCTAATACTTTAAAAAGACACTAACATCTAAGATAAGTATTGTTCCTGTTTCATAGTAATGTTTAAATGACTGATTTCTCTAAGTCCACATTGGTAAGTGATAGAGCTAGAAATTGAACTAATGTCTTAACTTCAATCTTGAATTATTGGGCATCCAACTATATTTCGCTTTTTTTTTTTTTGTCGGTAGTGGGGCTTGAACTCTGGGCCTGGGCGCTGTCCCTCAGCTCTTCAGCTCAAGGCGAGCGCTCTACCACTTGAGCTACAGCGCCACTTCCGGTTTTCTGGTGGTTTATTGGAGATAGGAGTCTCACGATCTCTCCTGCCTGGGCTGGCTTTGAACCGCGATCCTCAGATTTCAACCACCTGAGTAGCTAGGATTACAGGCGTGAGCCACCAGCGCCCGGTTTATATTTCGCTTTTAAAAAAAGCCAAGCACGCCGGGCGCTTGCCTGGAGTATTAAGATTTGAGGCCAGCCTGGGCAAAAAGTCTGTGAGATCTATCTCCAAAATAACAAGGCTAGCTAGGCACCAGTGGCACACACCTATAATCCTAGCTACTCAGGAGGTTGAGATCTGAGGATCGCAGTTCAAAGCCAGCCCAGGCAAGAAAGTCTGTGAGACTCTTGCCTCCCCAATAAAAGCCACCAGAAGACCAGAAGTGGCTCTGTGGCTCAAGTGGTAGAGCGCTCGCCTTGAGCTGAAGAGCTCAGGAACAAATCCCAGGCTCAGAGTTCAAGCCCCATGACTGACAAAAACAACAACAACAAAATAAGGCTGGAGACGTAGTTTAAGTGGTACGATACCAGCTAAGCAGGTGTAAAGCCAAGTTCAAATCCTAGTAATAATCCCCCAACCGGAACAAAAGAAAGACTCCAAGCATTCTCAAGGCTAAAGTAGGAGGATCATGAGTTCATGTCCAGTGTGGGCTATTTAGGAATTTCAAGCCAGCATGAATGAGATACTGTCTTTCCAAAATTATTAGTATTAGTCTGTGTGTGTGTGTGTGTGTGTGTGTGTGAGAGAGAGAGAGAGAGAGAGAGAGAGAGAGAGCACGTGTGTGCACGCACCTGTGCTTACTGGTCCTGGGGATTGAACTCAGGGCCTAGGCACTGTCTCTGAGCTTTTGTGCTCAAGGCTAGCATTCTACCTCTTGAGCTACAACTTTACTTCCAGCTTTTTGGTGGTTAATTGGAGATAAGAGTATATGAACTTTCCTGACAGGGCTGCCTTCAAACCATGATCTTCAGATCTCAGCCTCTTGAGTAGCTAGGATTACAGGTGTGAGATGTTGGTGCCTGGCAATACTGCCTTAAAAAAAAAAAAAGACTGTGGGAAATGATTTTTACATCCTTGATCTCCTCGTCTTAATTTATTTAGCATCATTTTTTTATTGCTTCTTTTAAGTCCCTGCTTAAGTCAAAATTCCTGTGCCCATATTTAGAATCCTTTAATATAATCTGTTATTAGCCTGTGTATCCAGCATTATCTTCCATTCCTCTCACATTAATCCTTTATTTGCATGACATGTCCTGTTTCCTGATTGTATTTAAGTTTAAATCCATTCTTGTTTCTTGACTTCAGTGTGTAGTTTTTCTCATTGGTCTTTTGGAGGCCTGCCCAAGGCTTCCATTATAACTGTAGTTAGCAATGAGTACTCATGTTTTGATTTTATATGTCACATATTAATGGTACATATTTGCTACTTATTGCCTTTAATACACTATTATGTACTGTCTTCAGTGCTCACTAATTGTTTTCACATGTTTACATTTATCAGAATTCAAGTCTTTTGACAAGAGAAACCAGATGCACGCATACTTAAAATAATCCATAAATACATACCAGATACTAGTGAATCTAATAAATATGCTTGTGTGGCAGTTCATTGTGATGATAGTGGTATTCCCCTGGATACAAGTTCTTCTGAAAATGTGTTCATTTTTCTCAAGAGAAATGCATGATAATAATGTTTACATTCCCTTCTTCCCTGCCTTTGTTTTGGTAATAGGCAGTTGATGATGTAAAGAAAGGTTACATCAAAGCAGAAGAAAAGTCTTACCAATTGCAGAAGCTATATGAACAAAGAAAAATGGTCATGGTAAGTTTATCTCCTCAATACTTTCTTTTTGCCTTAAACTTGTTTTAATCATAGTATTACTTCCAGGTCAGTGGCTTAAATGTGTGTGTGTATATGTGTGCATGCGTGTGTGTGCATGCGCACGCACGCGCCAGTACTGGGTGGGGTCAGAACTCCAGGACTCATGCTTTTGTTCAGCTTTTTCAGTTATGGTTGTCACTCTACCTCTTGAGCTACAGCTCTACTTCTGGATTTTGCTAGTTAAATTAGAAGTCAGAATCTCTTAAGATTTTTCTGCATGGGCAGACTACAAACTTCAATTCTCAGGACTCAACCTCCTGAGTAGGTAGGATTATAGGCATGCGCCACAGTCATCCAGCTTTTAAGTAACTTTTAAAAAAGAGACATAGATTTTGATCCCCTTCACTGTGTCCCTCCATTTGTTACACAAAAAACTTGGATTGGGGCTGGGAAGGTGGCTCAGTGGTAGAGCGCTTGTCTTGCATGCATGAGGCCCTGGGTTTGATTCCTTAGCACCACATAAGCAAAAAGAAAAAAGCTGGAACTGACGTTGTGGCTCAAGTGGTAGAGCGCTAGCCTTGAGCTGAAGAGCTGAGGGACAGCGCCCAGGCCCAGAGTTCAGGTCCCATGACCGGACCCAAAAACAAAACCAAACAAAAAAACTTGGATTATAACACAGGTGTAATTTTATTATTAATAATAATTAAATAATATTTTTCACAAAAACTTAAAACAAATATATACAAAACATTAACAGTATAGCAAAGATAAGATTATAAAAGAACTTGTAAAATTTTTTTTTTTTTTGTTTTTGGTTGTGGGGCTTGAACTCTGGGCCTGGGTACTGTCCCTGAGCCCTTCAGCACAAGACTAGCGCTCTACCACTTGAGACACAGCGCCATTTCCAGTTTTCTGGTGGTTAATTGGCGATAAGAGTCTCGTGGACTTTGCTGCCTGGGCTGGCTTTGAACTGCAATCCTCAGATCTCAGACTCCTGAGTAGCTAGGGTTACATGTATGAGCCACCGATGTCCAGCAATAAATTTGTTTGGAGCGAGACCTATATACCTGTCAGCTCTGGAACTTGTTATGTAGCCTAGGTTGACCTCAAATTCACATTCCTCTTGCTTTATTTTTCCCTAGTGCTGGGATTACAGGCATGAACTACTAAGCCCAGCTTTAGTTTGTTTTTGTTTTTGTCTGTTGAGGGGCTTGAACTCCGCGTCTGGGCTCTCTGTCTCTGAGTTTTTTTTTGCTCAAGGCTAGCACTCTACCACTTTGAGCCACAGTGCTACTTCCAGTTTCTGGTGGTTAATTGGAGAACACAGTCTCATAGGAACTTTCCTATCCTGGCTGGCTTCAAACAGCAATCCTCAGATCTCAGCCTCCTGAGTGGCTAGGATTACAGGCATTAGCCACTGGCGCCCAGTTCAGCTATAGGTTTTTAACATTACAAATCACTTAGCTATAGGTTTTTAACATTACAAATCACTTTAGTTGTAATTTAGCAATGACAAAATTATTTGTTTTACAGTTTCCATTTCTACATTTGCTTAGACTTGTGTGCTCAGTAGTGCTTTTGTTTCCTATGATGTCCTTGAGCCATGGTATTCAATGTAGTCACTACTAGCCTCTTATGGCTATTCAAATCTAAATTTAGTCACTTAAATAAATTTTAAATTTAATCTCTTTAGTTACAGTGGCCACATTTCAAGTGCTAAGTAGCTATATGTGGCTAGTAGCTGCCATATTGCACTGTGAAGACAGAGAACATTTCAACATCACAGAAATTTCTGTTGGGTAGGGCTATGTAGGGTATTCCTTAAATCCTTTAAACTTAGCTTTTAGAGCCAGGCAGCTTGATACATGTAACCCTAACTACTCTTATCTTTCCAGTGGAACTGTAGTTCAAGTGGTAAAGTGCTGGCTTTGGGCAAAAAAGCTTAGGGACAGTGTCTAGACCTGAATTCAAGCCCTGGGACTTGCACAAACAAATAAATATAAATAAATAAAATTAGCTTTTATTTGTATCTGCCATAAAAATAGGATAGAAATTGTTAAAAATAAACTTAGGAAAGAACACAACAGAAATTTTCACTCATAGCATTTAAAAATTTCTTACTTGGAGCCGGGCATGAGTAACTCATGCCTGTAATCCTAGCTACTAAGGAGGCTGAGAGCTGAGGATCATTGTTCAAAGCCAGCCCAGGCAGGAAATTTCGTGAGACTCTTATCTCCAATAAACCACCAGAAAACTGGAAGTGGTGCTGTGGCTCAAGTGGTAGAGTACTTACCTTGAGCTGAAGAGACTGGCTTTGAACCATGATCCTCAGATCTCAGCCTCCTTTGTAGCCATGATTACTGGTGTGAGCCACTAGCACCTGGCTTTACTATAGTTTATAATACCTACTGTCATCAAAAACATTTTTTAGGTGGCTTAGTGGTAGAGCGCTTGCCTTGCATGCCTGAGGCCCTGGATTCGATTCCTCAGCATCACATAAGCAAAAAGAAAAAAGCCAGAAGTGGCACTGTGGCTCAAGTGATAGAACGCTAGCCTTGAGCTGAAGAGCTGAGGGACAGCGCCCAGGCCCAGAGTTCAGGCCCCACAACCAGACCCAAAACAAACAAACAAACAAACAAACAAACAAAAAACATTTTTTACACTTATTCACAAAGTCAAATTTAATCTCAAATTTGGATATAATATATAAGTGTTTTTCTTTCCTGCCTTTCTCCTCTCTTCTCTCTTTTCCTGTCTCTACTCCTATACAACCAGTAGACATATTTAAGTTGTACTTTGCTTATGTTGACATGGCCTGCCTGATTCTGCTATTGCTAAACTGATGTTTTCTATATTAGTATTTGTAATTTGTAGTAATTTTACATAAAGCAGTATATATGTAAATTAGTGTTTCCCAAAGTGTGATTCCCCAGTCTACTTCATGAAATTCATTTATGAAGCCCCTTAAAATTCAGATTTTTGAATCTCATTTCACATGTACTAAGCCAGAGTAAATGGGCTAGGACCTGGAGAGCATTGTTTTTAAAGCATGTACTGGTAATTCTGAAATTTTATTTGCTTCTGAATCAGTACTGTAGGGCTTGGGGAGAGTTCAGTTAAGCCCTTGTTTCAGTTTTAGACCTGATTTGACCCTTGCCAGGTTGGTTGTAAGAACACACTGTTCTTCAGAATGGATCTTGACCCATTCACCTGAAGTGTTCTGCTCTGTTAGATACTGAGTCTGTTAATAGCTGCCTTGCTTCCATATTTACCTGTCTTGCTGAATATTGAAAATTTATAAAATGTCCCCTATAATATACCTTCCCTCTTCTGTAGCCTAAAAGGGCCCAAATGTAAGTGGCATATGTGAATCAAAGACAGTATTTTTTTGTTTGTTTGTTTTTTTGCCAGTCCTGGGGCTTGAACTCAGGGCCTGGGCACTGTCCCTAACCTTCTTTTTGCTCAAGGCTAGCACTCTACCACTTGAGTCACAATGCCACTTCTGGCTATTTCTGTTTATGTGGTACTGAAAAATCAAAGAGCCCAGGGCTCCATGCATGCTAGGCAAGAACTCTACCACTAAGCCACATTCCCAGCCCTGATTTTGTGTTTTAAATAAACATATAAAATAAATATTTTTTGAAAGCAAAAAATCACCTTTTCCTAATGTTGGGTTTCTGTAATATTTCAAATGCTTCTCTTTAGGCTTGATACAAACCCAGGATTGCATTGTGGGGATTATCCATTTAAAACAGAAACATTACCCAACCTGAGATCTCTAAAAACCTTAAATCTCCCAGTAAGATTTTACTTCTGGCATCTTACCAAGGATACAAGTGACCTTAGTTTTCACTCAGGTTATTTTTAGAACTTATGCCAATAAAAACTCCACTTCAGGTCTTTTTTCTTTCAAGGACAACATTGTTGAATCCAAAGGGCAGGTTGACAAGCATGTGTTCTGTTCTGGAACTGTTCTAGGCCCTTTATAGACATTCTCTTTACCTCCAGATATTACCTCTACTTTACAGAGAACTGAAGTCTGAGAGATAGATAAGATTTTTACCTGGGGTTGTGTAGCTGGTCTGAAGTAGAAGTAGGATTTGAAACAGGATTTGAACCCCTATCTGTGATGTCCTATAATGAGTGAGAGAGGGCTGAAGTGGTTTCCAGATGGTCCAGGGGAAGCCCTCAGGTTAAGCAACTTTCTTAAAGTCATACAGCTTAAGATATGCACAGTTACACATCTCTTTCAATTTCTAATTCTTGCCTTTGTCTGTGTGGTTCTCTCTAAAAAAGAATAAAAAAGAAAAAAAAATAGAGCCAGCACAGGGGGCTCATGCCTATAATCCTAGCTACTCAGGAGGATTGAGGTTCAAAGCCAGCCTAGGCAGGAAAGTCTATGAGATTCTGATCTCCAGTTAACTACCAAAAAAGCCAGAAGTGGAGCTGTGCTTAAAATAATAAAGCACTAGCCTTGAGCAAAAGAAGCTCAGGGACTGAGTTCAAGGCTCAGGGACAACAGCAAACAAACAAAAAAATATCTTGTTCCAGTGGCTCATGACTGCAATCCTAGCTACTCTATTCAGAAGGCTGAGTACCGAGGATCATGGTTCAAAGCCAGCCCAGGCAGGAAAGTCCATGACACTCTTATCTTCAATTAACTTTCAAAAAGCCAGAAGTGGAACTGTGGCTCAAGTGGTAGAGTACTAGTCTTGAGGATCAGCACACACACAAAAAAAGAATATGGCTGAAAATTTTGTTGATACAGTATTTGTGCTTCTCAAAGAGAACAACTCTTACTAAAATGTGAGAGTTCATAGTTGTTTTTTTTTTTTAATGAAAGTCTTTTTTTTTTTTTTGGTCACAGAACATAAGCAGAATTAATCTTAAGTGTCTATGACACCCATTGGCATTAGTAGAGGTTTTAAGTATTTAAGTATTGAGCAGAATTGCTTTTTATAGAGCATAACAACATTTCTGAGGTCTGTATTATTAGGTCTATATTAGAAGGATGCCATGGATTGGATGCTAGAGGCCTGGTTGTACAGTCACTCTTTTTTGTTTGTTTGTTTTGGTCGGTCCTGGGGCTTGAACTCAGGGACAAGGTGCTATCCCTGAGCTCTTTTGCTCAAGGCTAGTGCTCTACCATTTTGAGCCACAGTGCCACTTCCAGTTTTCTGGTGGTTAATTGGAGAGATGAGTCTCCTGGACTTTCCTACCCAGGCTGGCTTTGAACTGCAGTCCTCAGATCTCAGCCTCTTGAGTAGCTAGGATTACAGGTGTGAGCCACCAGCTCCAGATTTCCAGTTACTCTTTTTAAAAATATATTTTACTATAAAATCAAACACATAAATTGAAATCATATCACAGAAAACCCTCATGCACCCATTGCCCAGCTTTGGTGGTCTTTACCTTTCTGCCTATCACTCAGTATGTTTTTCCCCCTGGGTATTTCTTTCTGTTTGTTTGGTTAAAATGCTAGGAATTAATTTCAAGCCTTCATACTTAATTCGCAAATGATCTTGCACTGAACTCCTCTCCCTTGGAATTTTGAGGGATTTTTGGCTTTTCTGAAAATTGAACTCAGAGCTTTGCACTTGCTTGGCTTGCTTGCTCAGATGGCATTCTACGACTTGAGCCACATCTTTATTCTGGCTTTTGCTGCTTATTTTGGAGATGGAGTCTTAGAGAATTTTCTACCTGTCTTAGCTTTGAGCCATGATCCCTCAGCTTCCTGAGTAGCTAAGAGTACAGGAATTAGCCTCCAGTGCCCAGCTATTCCCCTGAAGATTTTAATAACAATTTAGTCATTACATAGAGGTTTTTATGGGGTGTGGGAAGACACTACTGAGGATGGAAGTCAGGACCCTAGGGTTTACTAGGCAAGCACTTGCTGCTTGAGGCACACTCCCAGTCTTGACAAGGCATTTTTGTTGTTGTTCCCTAGACATTAAGAATTTATTATAGGTAGGCACTGGTGGCTTACGCCTGTAATCCTAGCTACTCAGGAGGCTGAGATCTGAGGATTGCGGTTCAAAGCCAGTGCAGGCAAGAAGTCCATGAGACTCTTTATCTCCAGTAAACCACCAGAAAACTGGAATGGCGCTGTAATTCAAGTGGTAGAGCACTTGCCTGGAGCTGAGGGACAGCTCCCAGGCCCAGCATTTAAGCCCCACAACTGACAAAAAAAAAAAATGAAAAAGTAGATTTATTTAACCTATTTGTAAATAAATCCACGTATTTAATATTATATAGTACTATTATTAAGTAAACCCATTTATTCTATTACTTAATAATTATAGATTATAAGTACAATTTACTTAATGGATTTTATTGTGTGTGTATGCTGGACCTGGACTTGAACTCTGGGCCTGGGTGCTGTCCTGAGCTTTTTTGCTCAAGGCTAGAACTCTACCACTTAAGCCATAGCTCCACTTCTGGTTCTTTTGGGTAGTTAATTGGAAATAAGAGTCTTACAGGGGCTGGGAAGGTGGCTCAGTGGTAGAGCACTGCCTTGCATGCATGAGGCCCTGGGTTCGATTCCTCGGCACCACATAAGCAAAAAGAAAAAAGCCGGAAGTGGCACTGTGGCTCAAGTGGTAGAGCGCTAGCCTTGAGCTGAAGAGCTGAGGGACAGCGCCCAGGCCCAGAGTTCAGGCCCCATGACCAGACTCCCCTCCCCCCCCCAAAAAAAAAGAGTCTTACAGATTTTCCTGCACTGGCTGGCTTTGAACCATTATTCTCAGATATCAAATTCGATGCTAAATACTAATATTGCATGCTCACAAATAGCATTATGGCTGTTATTATTTCCTACATTATAGAAGAGAAAACTAAGGTTCCTGGGAGTGAGTTAAAGTCATTTACCCAAGGTTGCACAGTTAGGAAGTACTGGAGCCTTGATTGAAGGGTAGGATAGCCTGGACCCATCCACTGTTCTCTTGACTAAACATTGTTGCTTATTATAACTCTAGAAGAGATCTTGCCTATTCCATAATATATAACTCCTGTCATATTTACCAAAGTGTAGCAGTCAAGGATTTGAGTTGTTTTGTTTTGTATGTTCTGATGCTGGGGCTTGATCTCAGGGCCTGGGTACTATCCTTGAACTTTTTTGCTCAAGGATAGCACTATATCATTTCAGCTACTGGTGGTTTATTGTAGATAGGAGTCTCATGGACTTTCCTACATTGGACTTCCTTGGAACTGTGATCTTCAGGTTTCAGCCTTCTGAGTAGCTAGGATTTCAGGTATGAGCCACCAGTACCTGACTCAAGGATTTGTTTTGTTCATATTGCTATAACAGGCTTCAGTAGGGCCAGTGTTTGTCACTGATATAGAAAGGACAGTAAAAAGCAGTTGGAGGAGGTTAGATAGGTATGATGGTGCATGCTTATAGTTTCAGCACTTGAAAGGCTGAGGCAGAAGGATCCAAGTTTGAGACCAGCCTGGGTTGTATAGTGAGTGTGAGGCTAGCCTTAGTAAGACCTTCTCTCAAAAATAAGCAAAACAAAATTAAAAGTGAGTAAGTAGGATGATAGAAGGAAAAATTAGAGAAAAAATTTTAAGTTGTTGACCCTGTGCCTATATTCTCTCTATCCTTTCATAATGTTTCATCTTCAAAGTTGTTATTGTTTTACCAAAGTAGAAAGTAGGAAAAGGGGGGGGGCCTGGGAAGGTAGCTCAGTGGTAGAGCGCTTGCCTTGCATGCATGAGGCCCTGGGTTCGATTCCTCAGCACCACATAAACGAAAAAAGTGGCGCTGTGGCTCAAGTGGTAGAGCGCTAGCCTTGAGCTAAAGAGCTGAGGGACAGCGCCCAGGCCCAGAGTTCAGGCCCCACGACCAGACTCCCCCCCCAAAAAAAAAGAAAGAAAGAAAGTAGGAAAGGGATTTTTCCCTGGGTCCTGAAGTCCCTAGTGGTCTTAAGTGCCATTTATGAAGAGCCATAAATTACCCCATGTCCTTTTTGTGTTTGTGTCCTGATTCTTCTGGTAAGGCAATCCCTGAAAGGAAGCCTGACTGACACTGAATCTTCTTTGTTTCCCCTTTATCTTACTTTCCCTGCTTCTCTCTATCCTCCTTCCACTTACCTTCTTTTATTCTCTCCCTCTCAACTCAAAATAGTGAGTTGAGCTGGAATCGGTGGCTCATGCCTGTAATCGTAGCTATTCAGGATGCTGAGAGATCTGGCAACTTGAGATGTGTCTCCAACCTGGGCAGAAAAGTTGGCAGACTCCATCTCTAAAATAACTAGCAAAAAGCAAGATTGGAAGTAGCTCAAATAGAGTGTCAGCCTAGCAAGCAAGCTGAGCAAGCATGAGGCCCAGAGTTCAAACCCTGGTGCTTGAAAAAAAGGATTGAGGACAAGACTAATTAGCATTATGAGGTCTCCTTTCTAGCCCTGCTAGTCTGATCTTAATTACAGTATCTACTTTTTTTTTTTTTTTTTGGCCAGTCATGGGGCCTGAACTTTGGGCCTGGGCACTGTCCCTTAGCTCTTCAGCTCAAGGCTAGCACTCTACCACTTGAGCCACAGCGCCACTTCCAACTTTTTCTGCTTATGTGGTGCTGAGGAATCGAACCCAAGGCCTCATGCATGTGAGACTACCACTGAGCCACCTTCCCAGCCCTTCTTTTTCTTTTAATTTTTTTGGTCATGGGGCTTGAACTCTGGGCCTGGGTGCTGTCCCTGGGCTCTTCAGCTCAAGGTGAGTTCTCTACCTCTTGAGCCACAGTGCCACTTCCGGTTTTCTAGTGGTTTATTGGAGATCAGAGTCTCATGAACTTTTCTATCCAGACTGGCTTTGAACCATGATCCTCAGACCTCAGCCTCCTGAGTAGCTAGGATTACAGGCGTCAGCCACTGGTGCCCAGCTCTTTTTATATTTTTGATAGTACTGGAGTATGAACTCAGAGCCTCACACTTGGTAAACATATGTACTACCACTCAAGTTACCCTTTTCATTGTTTGTGTTCAAGAGCTCACTTTATGCCCTGACCATCTTGGACTTTGGTCCTCCTGTATTTGTGTTTCTTCAGATCATTGGGATGTTAGGCACACACTACTGTGTCTACCCATTGTGCTTCCCTTGTGGCTTGAGATATGCACAACTAACCCAGTCATTGGTCAAGAAGGAGACTGTGGGGCTGGGAAGGTGGCTAGTGGTAGAGCGCTTGCCTTGAATGCCTGAAGCCCTGGGTTCGATTCCCAACACCACATAAGCAAAAAGAAAAAAGCCAGAGGTGGCGCTGTGGCTCAAGTGGTAGAGCACTAGCCTTGAGCTGAAGAACTGAGGGACAGCGCCCAGGCCCAGAGTTCAGGCCCCACAATCTGACCCCCCCCCAAAAAAAAATAAAATAAAAAAAAATAAAGAAGGAGACTTGTGAAGTTCTTTGGCCTAGGCTGGCCTCAAACTGCAATCCTATGATCATCTGCCAAGTAGCTAGGGTTATAAGGCTGAGCCACCATGCTTGTCTCTCCTTTTCATTCCTATATCCCCTTTAAGTTGAGAAAGGAAGGAGATAAGTATGGGGCAGAAGCTGGAAGCAGAATAAAGGATTTTCATAGAATCCTTACCAAATTTAGGGACAACTGTGAGATCAGAAACCATGTCTTCAGGTTGTTGTTTTAAACACTCTGTTCGTTCTCTTATGCTGTACCAGTAGCTCTTTACCGTGTTTCAACTTTATGGTAACACTGTTTTCCCTTCCTTTTTGTCTAGTACCTCAACATGCTAAGGACTTGTGAGGGCTACAATGAAATTATTTTCCCCCACTGTGCCTGTGATTCCAGGAGGAAGGGGCATGTTATCACAGCCATCAGCATCACGCACTTTAAATTGCATGCCTGCACTGAAGAAGGACAGCTAGAGGTGAGCATCAGCGTGGTCCTGAGCGAGGAGCATTACAGATGAACGCTTTGATACTCGATACTTACTGTATTTTAGTTTCTATTTTTGGGCAAATGATATCACAGTTGTGTTCTGATTAAGGTAAATAAATAGGCACTGAACCTACACTAAACCAAATTCACTGCTACTTTTGCTGGCTTTCATTCTTTTGCCAGTCTTTGAAGTCCTGTAGATATCTCCAGTCTTTTTTTTTTTTTTTTTTTAATCCCTGGATCTGAATCCCCTTTCCTCAGCTTCTCAGACTCAACTGTAGAACTTACTGTGTTGGGGTCTGGGAAGGTGGCTCAGTGGTAGAGCGCTTGCCTTGCATGCCTGAGGCCCAGGGTTCGATTCCTCAGCACCACATAAGCAAAAAGAAAAAAGCCGGAAGTGGCACTGTGGCTCAAGTGGTAGAGCGCTAGCCTTGAGCTGAAGAGCTGAGGGACAGTGCCCAGGCCCAGAGTTCAGGCCCCATGACTGGACTGCCCTCCCCCCCCAAAAAAAAGAACTTACTGTGTTGTTCTTGATTGTCTAGAACCAGGTAATAGCATTTGAATGGGATGAGATGCAGCGATGGGACACAGATGAAGAAGGAATGGCTTTCTGTTTTGAATATGCACGGGGAGAGAAGAAACCTCGATGGGTTAAAATCTTCACACCGTATGTGAGTGGGACATGGCAAAGCACAGGGGAGAACTCTGGGCTTCAGATTTCTTTAAGTAAATACATCAGTTGGGTGGGGAGAGAGAGGAGAGAGAGAAAGAGAAGGAGGAGAATTGTTCTCAAGATCAGAACCTCTTTGAATCTTACAGCTCCAAGGTTATAGTATTTTTCCTTGAGGCCACTCTAGGATTGGCAGTTTCACAGCCCACTTGACTCATTACTGCCACTAGAAGGAGCTAAAGAGCAGTAAATGGCCAGACCTGGGATTTGTCAGGGTTTTCTCTAGATTGGATGTATTTGGAAAACAGGGTAGCAGAGCAGTAGTACAAGGTATGTCCCTAGGGTACTCTGTCTTGTGAAGTCTTGTGACTGTTGTTACTCTTTTATTTTCCCCAGTTCAATTATATGCATGAATGCTTTGAGAGAGTGTTCTGCGAGCTCAAATGGAGAAAAGAGGTAATTCTAAAGAATTCTCTAATTAACTTTTATCTGTTTATTTGTTTAAAATTTGTAGGCCCTTGGCCAAATACCTGGGACCCTTACCTCCATTTCTGTCTTTCTAGGAATATTAGTTAGAGACTGATTATCCAATGTGGGCCAGAACATTCTTCCAGCGAGGCTGGCCTCTGGATGGTGAATGGGCTATGCAAAAAAGCCCTGCTTCTTCCCTTGTCTAGAGGGTGGACATTGGCATCAGGCTCTCCCATCTCTCATGACTTCATGGACCCTCTTCTGCCTGTTCTTTTGGTTTTATTTTGTTTTGTTTAGTGAAATCACCTTCCATGTTGTTCCTGACCCAGAAGGGCAGCTGTTTTCAGCATTAGCCATCTGACTGGATGAGTCATGATAGTCTTTGTAGCCTAACAAAAGAACATATATGTGGGGAAAAGTTTTTGTAACTGCTGTCAGTGCCGGAGCAGAATTTAGAAGATTCTAAATACTTAACTATTTGTTCTCAAAGAAAATCAGAGGATCAAGAGGTAAAGTCAGGAATATGATATAGTACAACATTGGGCTTTGGGAATCGCATCTAGCTTTTTTCCTAGCTTTGTTTTCTCTGTAATTTTGGATAAACCAGCTTTCTTAAATCTGAGCTTTCCCTTCCATAGAAAAGGAAGACTGAGCCTGGTAATTAACATTCAAGGTTCTTGTAATTCTAGAGAGAAACTTAGTTGTATCAAGGGAACAAACCAATGAGATTGAGTCATACAGTTATATACTGTTTTAGTTTCTGTTTGAGGGTTGTCTCCAGATTGGAGGAGATGATGGCTTCCCAATAACTCTTCTCCTTTTTTTCCTTTCAGAACATTTTCCAGATGTCGAGGTCACAGCAGAGGGATGTGGCCACCTAGCCTTTCCTTTTCCCCTTCCCTTGCCTTCATCCTCTTATCCCTTTTGTCTCCCATGTCAGAGTAACCATTAACACAAAAGATGAGAAAAAGAAAAAAGTCATTATATACAAAAAGCCCTAAACTAAATATTAATAACTCCCTCTGAATTTCATGTCTTGAATTGAGCTGGCAGAGAACACAGATTGGTCAGTACCAGAAGTCCACTGAGATAAGATAGAAATAAGCCCAACCAACTCGCCAAAGGTATCTTTGTTCTTTCACCTGGGCCTCATACCAACAGACGCTCCTTGTACTATATTTTTAAAACTGGAACTATGAACTTCATCCATTTGCACTGTTCAGACATATATATGTATGTATGTAAAGAAATTATAATATACACAAAATTAGCTGCACGTATATACATATATATATTTCTTTTTAAATTTCATATTGATGGCAGTACCTTTTTTAGCTTGTGTTTTTACACACCTTTCACTAGAATTCATGACCTCTCGCTCTCTTTGTTTCAAAACAAACTTTAAAAAGGAAAAAAAAAATACAGAGAAAATACCTCTCCTCGTGAAGGACTCGAAAAGTTTACAACCTTGCTTGGGTTCTTTCCCCTCCTTTTTTGTATTGAGTATAGTTTCTGGCTCATGGGTTGCCATAGAGTCTGAGGAGCAGGGTGTGTAGTTGCTTTATCTTCTAAGAGGGTGCTGGGGAGGAGAAAGGGGTGTGTTTCTCACAGGCAGGAAGGCTGCAGATCTGCTGGGAGAATCTAAAGGCTTGATGTGATCTCTTGCTTTCAAAGCAGTTTTCCTGGTCCATCTCTCTCCAACTCATGGTTTTCTAGTCCATCTCCCATCTCCTTCCTCCTTCTCTAGGGCCTTTTGTGTGTTTTTTTTCCAACTGTCCCCAGAGCAGAGTTGAGGCTGGGCTCAGGAGGCTGATGCTGCAGGAACATAAAATTACTACTCTATGGTAATTTCCCTTCTCCCCACTTCTGTAGCAGGCATGGTACTACAGACCAAGGGTAAATATATCTCAGGCACAAAGGTTGGATGAATGGAAGGAAAAGAAGGAAAGATACCTGCAAATATAGGGTTTTTACCTACTCCACTCCTGACCAATTGCATTCTCTTGTGATTTCTTTAAATAGCTGTGGTGGGGAGGGAACTGACTGTATCTTCAAGGCCTCAGGGAGAACTTGGAATGTGTCTGTAGTCTGTGCCAGCTAAATGATAACCCTATTCAAGCCAGCCAGCAGAGGGTCTGGGAAGAAGTGGGATATGGTTGATTTTATTTGGCTCTCTTTTTACTTAAAAACAATCTGAAGGAAATCCTTTTAGTCCCTAAGAGCTATATCCTAGGTTCAGAGGCCAGGGCTGATACATAGGACAATAGTCTCAGACCCTGAGGTTTGTAGGTCTTGCCTAAGGAGCACTAAGTCAGGCTCTGATGCAGTTGAAACAGGTCTTTGAACACTGCCCATACACCTGAGTAAGTCACCTCCGTGAGGTGGCATTGTCTGCTTTAGCTAGCCGTAGTCAGCTCCTCTAAGCAGTGTTGAGGTAGCTTAAAGTTTCTCTTTTGTAACTTGGTTTTGCAGATCATAATGAGACCACTTTTCTGTCTCTCTTATTCCTTATTCTGGATTCCACTTGCCCTAGGGAGGCATGGAATCATATAGATATCCTGTCCTCTCTTCAGATCCAGGTGACAGACCCATAGAGTGCAGAACAGAAGAATGCTGTTTGTTTAAAGTTGCAGGCTTTAATATAGGATTGACTCTTCCTTTTGGCTTGAAATGAATTTAATAATGAGCCAAATAACCCTAAAAAGAAATTTATTTCCTGCTCCAAGATGCTAAAGAGGCTTTTGGCACCAGCTTTGTTCAAACTATAAAAATAGCAATGTGCCCCTACTCACTCATAGTGGGAAAGGAAGGAGCAAATTGAAGAGTGAAAACCCAAAGTCTCTAGTAACCCAAGTGCTGACCTCCAGATATGAAACATGGATTTGGAGGCCCCTGAGAATGGGTAGATGGTGCTCTGCTCCCTTTTTGATTTAGCACTCACTTGGTGCTTTGGAGATTGGATGAGGGACCCCTTAAGTAGGTAATCGGCGTGTTGACAAAATATGTTTAGGAACAGCCTCTACTTGAAGCTGTCCTACTAACAAGAGTACCCAGCAGTAGCAAGGTGGTGGAAAGGAGGGAGACCCCGAAAGATAGCACGTTCTCTTTTGCTCACATCAGCCCTTCAGTAGTGGAGCAGAGGTCACTGTGGCTGTGAGGTCCATAGGGCCAAGCCCTTCTTTGCATGAAGCAGTGTTAGGTGACTTCTTAACCCCTTTCCTTTGCACTTCCTTTTTCTAATTCCTACTCTGTTTCTTAGTCCTGGCTTCTGCCCAGGGAGGCATCTACCCAGTCTTTTTTACAATTTGTCTCCGAGAAAGGAGGGGCTTCCCTTCCCCTAGCTTCACCCCAGCAGGATCTTCCTGGCCTCCCATTATTGTTCTCTTTACACTGGGTTTCTGTTCTGTAGAGCAAAAGCTCAAAAAAGCTCAGCTTTTTTTATGGAACAGGAAAAAATGTATGCCCTGAGAAACATGCCTCTGTAGAAAGGTTCCCTTGGGCCATGCTTTGAGCTCCTACTCATTATATTTTATTCTAGTCTCCATTTTTTTCTACCCTCCCCTTGCCCTAGGCTTAAGCTCAGCACAGGTACCCATATGTGCGTGCTCAGGGTAGCTCCTAGGCCTGGATAGAGCTCTCAGGGAGGAATTAGATAAATATTCCAACATCCTCATGCCTGGACTGTTTTGTTTCATCCTTTAGTTACCCAGGCCAGTAGCTTAGATTATCCCCTCCTGTAACTCCAAACACCATGCTTGGAGCCGCCAAATAGGGCACTGACAGGAGGTAATGCCTTTCTCACTTATCTCAGAATTTGCCAACTTACGGGCCTAGTTTCTAAGAGACAGTTTCTTTTGAAGGACCGGTATGCTAGTTGACCCGATCTCCAGAGCTGGCGGACCACTGTACCCTCCCCTTCTCTTCATCATGCTATCTGGCAGGACTCCGTTAGCAGTAGACCTCAGTACACTGCTGTTCCTTCACCAGCTTCATTAGTCACATTAGCTTCCTTCTGGAGGAGGGAGGAAGAAAGGGAAAATACAGGTAGTGGGAGTGCTTCTTTAGCCCCCCCCCCATCTTCCTGTTCCATCTAAGCTAAACTTCTGAGCACATCAGACCAGGCTCTTTCATAGCAGGATAGTAGCTCCCTTCTTACCCATAACTGAGGGTAGATGGGAAGTGGAGGGCTCTGGGGAGGTCAGAATTGAAGAGGGGAGTAACATGGGGTAGGGCCCTTGGCCAACTGCAAAACTTGGATAACAATTTTATTTCATGCCCTCTTTTAAGCCAGTGAGCTGGGCCATGCATACTTTTAATTTATTTGAGAGAAACTCTAATTGTATTTTCACTGCAGTATCTTGTATTTTTTATTTGTGATTTAAGAAATGTGAAGAGAAAATACACAGACACATAATGGCTAACAGTGTTCCTTTCATTCCTTGTTCTAGAGCTAACCACTCTAAAATTGTTTGGTAATGTCACTTAGTGTAATTAATTGTAACATATTCTTTTAAATAAATTGATTTATTGATGAAACAATTCTTTGGTTTCCTAGACTACAAATCCTTTGGGTTGTGTGGGAAGAAGTGGAGAGACCTTTGAGATTTCAGCTAGTGTGGTTAATCTGAAAATGAGAAGGAACATGTAGCCAGTTTCCCCAAGTAAAATGTGAGCAGCCTTTACAGAGCAGGAGATTGAGAGGGATGGGAGAACAAGAAGCCATGGAGGTCGTCCCTGGTTTGCAGTGCTGTGTTTAGTGGCTCCTTTGAAAGTTCCTTCTTCAGCTCTTAGAGTTGATTAAGCTTGCCCCTCCTGTCAGCCAGCATGCACAAAATCCTGTTAGGATTCACAGCATGAATTCTGGACTCCTTTCCCAGCCAAGTACAGAAAGCCTGGCAGAGCCCTTGGGTCACATGTTAGCACTATCCTGCTACCTCACTCGCATGTACATGTTAGTTTCTGAAGTAACTTAGGCAACCTTATCTCTTGGGGATCTGATCTGAAAAGTCCAAGTTACCCTAGTGAATTCCTGGACAAGACCGGGCAGATTCTGGTTTTAACCCCTCTCTGCCCATATCCCTGGAAGTAAAGGTAAGCCTGCTGCCTTTGCCTTTACAGAAGAAATCCAGGTGCTAGACCTACTTACCTACACGTGTAAGAGTACCTGCTCCTCTGTGCATGAGGCTGAAGGCTAAACCTGCTTAGAAAACCTTAGCATTCATAGTGGCTTGGACATATTTACTGTTTTTATAATTCTTTGTACTTTATTATTTCTTTTTTTTTTGGGGGGGGTCCAGTCGTGGAACCTGAACCCTGGGCCTGGGCGCTGTCCCTCAGCTCTTCAGCTCAAGGCTAGTGCTCTACCACTTGAGCCACAGCGCCATTTCTGGCTTTTTTTTTCTTTTTGCTTATGTGGTGCTGAGGAATCGAACCCAGAGCCTCAGGCATGCAAGGCAAGCGCTCTACCACTGAGCCACCTTCCCAGCCCCTACTTTATTATTTCTATAGCCCCTGACCAAATGCCTTAGCTGATGACCATACAGCAAGGACCAGGGGAGAAATAGGAAGGATCTCATTCACCTAGCATCAGCATTGAACATTTGGAATCTGATATTACTGTGCTAACGAGATTTTTTTTCCTTAACCAAGGAAGGAAAAAAATCTACAAAAAAGTAAACAATGGATTTATAGAATTAAAATTACCAGAGGTTGTAGCCAGCAACCTATCTACTGGAAGATGAGCAGTGTGATAGATACTGTAACAGATGCCAAAGCAAAGGAAAACATTCTGCTCACAGCCTCACAGGACAGTGAGATATTTACAAGTGATTATGATACAGAGCAGTAGAAGGTGGTTTTTTTAATAAGTTTTTTATCGTGAAAATACTGTACAGAGGGGTTAACAATTACATGAGCAAGGTAATGAATACATTTCTTATCAAGCATTGTTGCCTCCTCCTTTGTTTTTCCCCTACCATCCCTTCCCTCCCACCTATGTTTTGGTTTTTATTTCTTTTTTTTTTTTCTTTTTTCCTTTTTTTGTTGGTCTTGAGGCTTTAACTCTTGGGTTGGGTGCTGTCCCTCAGCTCTTCAGCTCAAGGCGAGCACTCTACCACTTGAGCCACAGTACCACTTCCGGTTTTCTGGTGGTTTATTGGAGATAAGAGTCTCATGGACTTTCCTGTCCCGACTGTCTTTGAACTGTGATCCTCAGAGCTCAGCCTCCTAAGTAGCTACAATGTGTGAGCCACTGGTGTCCTGCTCAGTGGAAGGTTTTGACACCATATTTATTAGGGGATGTTGGGGGAAGGAAAAGAGACCCTTAGATAAGGGCATGAGGAAAATTGGAGGCCAATGCCTCATACCTATATACCTGGACACACTCAGGAGGCTGAAATCTGAAGATCATGGTTTGAAATCAACCCAATCAGAAAAAGTCTGAATCTCTTTTTTTTTTTTTTTTTTTGTCGGTCATGGGACTTGAACTGTGGGCCTGAACTCTATCCCTCAGCTCTACAGCTCAAGGCTAGTGCTCTACCACTTGAACCACTGTGCCACTTACAGTTTTCTGAATGATTTATTGGAGATAAGAGTCTCACGGAGTGTCCTGCCTGGACTGGCTTTGAACCATGATCCTCAGACTTCAGCCTCCTGAGGTCCTAACCCTAGCTAGGATTACAGGTGTGAGCCATTGGCACCCAGCTAAGTGTGAGTCTCTTTAATTAATCAGCAAAATGCCTGACTGTAGGCATGGCTCAAGTAGTAGAGTTCCAGCCATGAGCAAAACAGCCAAGCAAGAGTACAAGGCCCTAAGTTTAAACCCTAGTACACATACACAATCACACACACAGTTATTGTGCCATTCTGTGCCAGTCACTATAGTACAAGAGAGTGAAATGTGTATAGAAAGGTCCAATGTTATCTAAATAACAGTAATCCTATTCAAATGGAACCCAGGGCAGGTAGGAAAGAAAGTGGGAAGTAAGGCTTTGAAGAGCTTTGATGCCAATAGGTGCCCTACATTAGAAGGTTGGGTTTTTTGTTTTAAGAAAATTGGTGTTTCAGGGGTCAGTTAGGAGACCAGTTATGATTATTCAATCAGTAAATGGAAACAGCAAACACTGAAAAGAGAAATATATGTGAGAAAATTTATGGGAAAAAGTTTTTGTGATTTTTTTTTTTAACATATAGCGCAGGCAGGCCCTTAAACATATGTAACCTCGGCTACCCCTGCTTCCCAGGTGCTAGGATGCTATGCATGTGGCTCCATGCAGAGCTGTTTCATGATTTAGTGAATTTGTGTGAGATGGTTAAAGTCTTCTAAGGTTTGATGTCTTGAATGGAGAATAGAAATGTTTAAAAGCTGCGACTTCAGAAGGCTAGCAGTTAGCTTTGGATTAGTATAATTTAGGCAGGGATGGGAAGTCCAGTATTGATTGTTGGTTTTAATTATTTACTAAGCAGCTGTTAATGTTCTGTAACGGTTGAGGATGATGCAGATACAGAAATGAACAAAGCAGATGAACCTCACTGAGTATCAGTGAGTTAGCTCTCAAATAGAACTGCAATTTCCTTGGAGACTAGGTTGTGAGAGAGCAAGAGAAATGTGAACACAGATGAGGATACATCAGGTATTTTGAGGTAGTGGGGAGAGGAGATGGCATTATTTATTTTAGAGGTGGATCTAGTTGGTGATTTGCAGTTGGATTGACTTAGAGATGTTGGAAAAGCCAGGTCTCATGGCACATACCTTTAATTCACCACTAGGGAGGCTGAGGCAGAGGACCTTCAGTTTTCTAAATTCCCCCACCCCAACAAAAATTAAACCTATGTGGCAGAAAGGATATAGTCTAAATTTATGGTTGAATGGGTACATAATATTTTCTGATGAAAATTTAAGAGTCAGAAGAAAACCTAAGTTAGGAACACATAGCTAGGATTTTTTTTTGGGGGGGGGGTCAGTCATGGGGCTTGAACTCTGGGCCTGAGTGCTGTCCCTCAACTCTTTAGCTCAGGGCTAGTACTCTACCACTTGAGCCACAATGCTACTTCCAGTTTTCTGGTGGTTTATTGGAGATAAGAGTTTCACAGCTTGCAGGGTGCCAGTGGTTTATGCCTGTAATCCTAGCTACTCAAGAGGCTAAAATCTGAGGATCATGATTCAAAGCCAGCCTGGGCAGGAAAGTCCTTGAGACTCTTATCTCCAATAAACCACTAGAAAATCGAAGTGGCTCAAGTGGTAGAGTGCTAGCCTTGAGCTGAAGATCTCAGGCCCAGAGTTCAAACCCCACAACCAACAACAACAACAAAAAATAAAGTTTCACGGCTTTTCCTGCCTGGGCTGGCTTTGAACTAGGATCCTCAGATCTCAACCTCCTGAGTAGCTAGGATTACAGGCAAGAGCCACCAGCACCTGGCTGTTTTTGTTTTTGTTTTTGTCTGGCTGTTTTTGTTTTTGTTTGGGTCTTAAGCTCATGAGCTAAGCACTGCCCCTTTATTTTCTTTTCTTTTCTTTTTTTTGTTGGTCGTGGGGCTTGAACTCTGGGCCTGGGCGCTGTCCCTGGGCTCTTCAGCTCAAGGCGAGCATTACCGCTTGAGCCATAGCGCCACTTCCAGTTTTCCAGTGGTTTATTGGAGATAAGTGTTTCATGGACTTTCCTGCCTGGGCTGACTTTGAACCATGATCCTTAGTTCTCAGTTCCTGAGTAGCTAGGATTACAGGCGTGAGCCACTGGCACCCGGCTTAGCACTGTCCCTTTGGAGTCACAGATATACTTCTGGCTTTTGGATGGTTAATTGGAGATAAAGAGTCTCACAGACTGGGGCTGGGAAGGTGGCTCAGTGGTAGAGCACTTGCCTTGCATGCCTGAGGCCCTGGGTTCCATTCCTCAGCACCACATAAGCAGAAAAAGCCGGAAGTGACGCTGTGGCTCAAGTGGTAGAGCGCTAGCCTTGAGCTGAAGAGCTGAGGGACAGCACCCAGGCCCAGAGTTCAGGCCCCATGACTGGACCCAAAAAAAAAAAAAAGTCTCACAGACTTTCCTGCCTGGGCTGGCTTGGAACAGGATCCTTAGCTCTTAACCTGCTGAGTAGCAAGGATTACAAGTGTAAACCACTATGTCCGGCTGACATTCATTTTTCATCAAGCCAGTGAGAGGATGTAGCCCATTGGAGGGAAACCCTGCATCTGGGGAGCAAGAAGCAGCTGGCTCTTCGGTGAAGCAGACCTGAGGAGAAGCCTGGGACTAGGATTGTGTAAGAATCTGGAGGCTGGTTTAGGCCTGGAGCAGCAAGCCTAGCCGCTGGACACCATGTCACGTGTGTCTCTGTGATCGTGTCCTGTGTCCTGTCTCCTGGCTCATCTCTAGTCATCATGGAGTCCCAATTCAGCTCTCCATTGGAGCTGAATTGGCTTGTTGGTATTGTTCTTGTTATTTCTTTTCTCTTTAGCATGTTTCCTAGCAGGGTTATGTATATTTGCGTGCTACAGGCCTTTGTAACAACTGGCGGTCTGCAGCCTGTTAACTGTATATTAAAGA